GGAAGGCAGCGTTAGAGGGAAAGATACATAGAGATCTTCACTCGCTAATTCAGTTCCCAAATGGCCACAACAACTAGGGCTAGGCCGATTCAAAGCCAGGAGCCAGGGGCTTCATCTGGGACCCAGCACTTGCGCCATCCTCAGCTGCTTTCCCAGGCACCTTAGCAGAGAGCTGGATCGGAAGTGGAGCAGCCAGGACTCGAACCAGTGCCCAGATGGGATGTCAGCACTGCAGGCAGCGCTTTACCTGCTGCGCCTCAGCGCCGGTCCCTTAGCTCAGCTTTCAGAGGGAAATGAACACGCTCAGACCCAGGGCGCTGCTGAGGTGTGCACCGCCCTGCCCCGGGCGTCCCTCTGAGGCCGGCTGCAGAGTGACAGTGAAACTTCCATGTGAAGCCGAGATCCTGAGAGGTGATAGCGTTGTAGGGCAGGACTCCAAGTGACGGGAAACTTTCGTTAAACATCTTTTGTTGAGAGAGGACACGTTTTCTTTGAACTTGACACTGGTACTCAGAACCATTAACAAAGACCTCAGTGAGCCAGATCCCCCTCGGCCATGGCGGGGGCGGGCAGGGTGCCAGCTGGCGTTCACGGTAAATTTCAGTTGACTTAAATCCTGCTCTGAGTCACAACTGGCCTTGGGGTTGTGTTAGGGACACTGTCAATCAGGGACCAATGCCTACAGCACCGTTTTCCAAGATGCTTGGACCACACCTGTGCCGGGGTGTGAGCTGGGACCACACTGTGCCGGGGTGTGAGCTGGGGTCACACCTGTGCCGGGGTGTGAGCTGGGGTCACACCTGTGCTGGGGTGTGTGCTGGGGTCACACTGTGCCGGGGTGTGAGCTGGGAGCACACCTGTGCTGGGGTGTGAGCTGGGACCACACCTGTGCCGGGGTGTGAGCTGGGACCACACCTGTGCTGGGGTGTGAGCTGGGACCACACCTGTGCCGGGGTGTGTGCTGGGGTCACACCTGTGCCGGGGTGTGTGCTGGGGTCACACCTGTGCGGGAGGGAGCTTCGGCAGCGAGTCCCCTGGCAAGAGAGGAGCTGTTGATTCTGTCACCGCACGCTGAGCTACCCGACAGCTGTGTTGAGTGACGGAAGCCGGAGTTTAGGAGCAGATCCTGTGTGGGTCCACCCCTGCGCGGCTCTCCAGACGCCAGCTCACTCCCAGTGACACCCGCGGTGGCTGGCGGGTGGAGTGGGGAGACTGCATGGGGCACAAGTAATGCCAAAACCCTGACTGTGGTGGTGGCCTGATGGGCTCCGGCCTTTGTGTGCAGCTCCCTGGTGTGTGTGCCAGCCAGACCTGGGACACGTGTGTGTGTGTGTGTGTGCAGCTCCCTGGTGTGTGCCAGCCAGGCCTGGGACGTGTGTGTGTGTGTGTGTGTGTGTGCAGTCCCCTGGGTACCAGCCAGACCTGGGACACGTGTGTGTGTGTGTGTGTGTGTGTGTCCAGTCCCCTGGGTACCAGCCAGACCTGGGACATGTGTGTGTGTGTGTGTGTGTGTGTAGCCCCCTGGGTACCAGCCAGGCCTGGGACATGTGTGTGTGTGTGTGTGCAGTCCCCTGGGTACCAGCCAGACCTGGGACACGTGTGTGTGTGTGTGTGTGTGTGTGTGTGCAGTCCCCTGGGTACCAGCCAGGCCTGGGACATGTGTGTGTGTGTGTGTGCAGTCCCCTGGGTACCAGCCAGACCTGGGACACGTGTGTGTGTGTGTGTGTGTGCAGTCCCCTGGGTACCAGCCAGACCTGGGACACGTGAGTGTGTGTGTGTGTGTGTGTGTGCAGTCCCCTGGGTACCAGCCAGACCTGGGACGTGTGTGTGTGTGTGTGTGTGCAGTCCCCTGGTGTGTGCCAGTCAGATCTGGGACGTGTGTGTGCGTGTGTGTGTGTGTGTGTGCATGCAGCTCCCTGGGTGTGCCAGCCAGACCTGGGACACGTGTGTGTGTGTGTGTGTGTGTGTGCGCAGCCCCCTGGTGTGTGCCAGTCAGATCTGGGACATGTGTGTGTGTGTGCACAGCCCCCTGGTGTGTGCCAGTCAGATCTGGGATGTGTGTGTGTGTGCGCGCAGCCCCCTGGTGTGTGCCAGTCAGATCTGGGACGTGTGTGTGTGCACGCGCAGCCCCCTGGTGTGTGCCAGCCAGGCCTCAGGGTGGCTCCCTAGCAGAGGGAGGCGGGGGCTCCTGCAGGTGCACTGGGTTGTTTTGCAGCCTCAGCTGAGACCAGGGCGATGCCGCGCCCTGGCACGCGTGTCGAGTGCGTGCTGGTCCAGCAGTCCGGACGCCACGTGGGGTGCAGCACCCCTGTGGGAGTGCCTGGGTCAAGTCCTGGCTCTGCGCCTCACTGTGCTTCCCTGCGGGCTCACACCCTGGGAGGCAGCAGATGCCCCAAGTACGTGGGTCCCTGCCAACCATGGGGGACCCGCATGTGGTCCCCAGCTCCTGGCTTTGGCCTGGCCTAACCCTAGTTGTTGTGGGCATTTAAAATTAAAAAAATTCCTGTAGAGTACAGAAGTGCTGCACATGAGATACTCCTTGTTAGCGTGGGACTGAGCAGGAGCGCGGTACACGGGAGCCGCTGTTGAAGAGATGGTACACACACACGCATGTGCACGCTCCTGTGTGCACATAGACTTCGAGAGTTCACAGAAAATACATATCATGGAAACTATACCAAAATAAACTTGCGTTTTTATTGCATTTTTGCACGAACTTTCTGAAGTAACCACATTCATTATTGTCCTAAAAATATTTTCATCAATTCTTTTCCTGTAACTAAACTGAAGTTTCACTAAAGCATCAATAAAGACAGGGCCCCGCGTAGCAGATAAAGCTGCCCCCTGAGACATGGCTTCCCATATGGGCGCCGGTTCAAGACCCGGCTGCTCCACTTCCAATCCAGCTCTCTGCTGTGGCCTGGGAAAGCAGTGAAAGATGGCCCAAGTGCTTGGTTCCCTGCACCCATGGGGGAGACCCGGAAGAAGTTCCTGGCTTCAGATCAGCACAGTTTTGGCTGTTGTAGTCATTTGGGGAGTGAACCAGCAGAAGGAAGACCTCTGTCTCTCTCTGCCTCTGCCTCTCTGTAACTCTGCCTTTCAAATACATAAGTAAATCTTTTAAAAAGAAAAAAACATGTTTATTTAAAAGACAGAGTGACAGAAATCTTCCATCTCCTGGTTCACTCCCCCAAATGGCCACAATGGCCAGGGATGGGCCAGCCCAAAACCAGGACCCTAGAGCTCCATCAGGGTCTCCCACGTGGGTGGCAGGGGCCCACGTACTTGGATGATCTTCCACTGCTTTCCCAGGCACGTTAGCAGGGAGCTGGGTCAGGAGTGGATCAGCCTGGACTCGGCCCAGTGCTCTGACGTGGGGTGCCAGCATTGCAGGCAGCAGCGTAACCCGGTGTGTCACAGCGCAGGCCCTCTGTGATCCACTTTTAGAAACAGACTGTAGACACCTGTGCCCGTCTCAGGGTGCCGGGTCCGGGTCCCACCCCCAGCTCCTGAGAGGCAGCCGCTGACGGCTCCAGTAGCCAGCTTTCTGTCACCCACGGGGGACTGCAGTCACGTTTCCAGCTCCCGCCTGCGGCCGTGGTCTGACCAAGCCGTCAAGGATACTTGGGGAGTCAGGCGGCCCTGGTTTTCCGCCTAGCTGTCTGCGCCTCGCAGAGACTCCCGTCAGTTGGAAGTAGGCGGGGACATCTGCATGTGGACGGCTGTGAGCTGCGATGTTTCCTGCTCCTCCTCCCGCCGGCCCCAGGAGCACAGTGCGGGGAGGACTCCCGGCACCTGCGGCGAGGGGCCCCAGGAGCACAGTGCGGGGAGGACTCCCGGCACCTGCGGCGAGGGGCCCCAGGAGCACAGTGCGGGGAGGACTCCCGGCACCTGCGGCGAGGGGCCCCAGTCCCGGCAGTGTTCCCTGACCTTTCCTCAAGGCTGCTGTTGGCTGCGAGTGCACGTACCAACCGTGTGGCGCAGCCGCACACCAGGCAGGGGGCCCCGGGTGCCGGCCACCCCCGGCGAGGGCTCCGCCAGCTGCTGGGCCGCTCTGCGGATTGGTTGGATTTCCTTTCCCCCGGTGGTGTGCCGGGAACTCCAGGGACCCAGGAGACAACCAGCGAAGGTGACGAGGGCCAGAGAACATTCTGGGTGACACTGGGTGGTTATTTTGGCACACCCCACGTGGAAGCCCACCGCATGTGCGCTGCCCTCACTGTGCGCCTGTGAGGCTCCGTGAGAAAGGCGCAGCCCACAGCAGGCGCAGCAGGTATCCACACGGCAGCTGGGAAAAACCTGCCAAGAGCCAGGGTAGGAGGTCTTCCCTTTATTTTGTTTGTTCCAAAGGCAGAGTGACAGAGAAAGAGGGAGAGACAGACAGACAGCGGTGTCTTCCATCCTCTGGTGCAATCCCCAAATGTCCACCGCACTGGCCCTGGGCCAGGGTGAAGCCAGGAGCCAGGAACTCCATCCGGGTCTCCCCTCTGGGTGACAGGGAGCTAAGTTGTGGGCCGTGGACTGCTGACCTCACGGAGACTAGATCCAAAGTGCTGCGTAGCCAGGACTCAAACCTGGGCTGTGGGTGGCCCAAGTGGCACTCAGCCTGGCCTGCAGTAGTAGTGGCACAGGAAAGAGTGTGTCGGGGAGGGCGCCTTCAGCGTTTGCAGACTGTCCCTGTGTCTCCCCTGGCCCCCAGGTCTGTCCCCTGAGTGACGGGCTCCTGTAGGCCTGCCCCCTTTCAGCACGGTGGTGGAAGGGCCCTCGCTGGCCTCGTGGGTCACACTCGATGCTTTCGGGCCCCGCTGTGTGGTGTCAGTCACATCACACGAGAAGGGAGAGCGCTGACCGGGAATCCAGGGCACGTGGAGGTGGGGTAGGGGACGGCCAGGGAGTGAGCACTTGTTCCCCCCCCCCAGCCGTGCAGAGCGGAGGCGCTGGGCCGGGGGGAACACTCGCTGGGCCCCGCTCTCTGATGTCGTCTGTCCTTGCCTCCCCAGGCTCCTGCACGCAATGTCCCCCCTCCCTGTGAAGCTGAAGTGAGAGAGGTTCCAGGCGGGCGGCCCGGCCCCCGGCCCAGGGCCAGGATGGCCAAGACCCAGCTCTTCCGGCTGTGGCTGGTGCTGGGCTCCGTGCTCACGGTCCTCCTCATCATCGCCTACTGGGACAACGTGGGCGCCACGCACTTCTACCTGCACACTTCCCTGTCCAGGCCGCACCTGCTGGAGCCCCTCCCCACGGCTGGGCAAGGGGCCGAGAAGGAGCTCGGGCCGGGCGTCGATGACTTCTTGGGTAAGCTCTTCGGTTCTGGCGCGAAGCAGAACGACCCCTCCAGGAAAGAGCCGGAGCGGCCGCCGGTAGCCGGGCTCCCTGGAGGAGAGCGTGCGGGGCTACGACTGGTCCCCGCACGGCGCCCAGCACAGCGCCGACCAGGGCCGGCAGCAGGCCGCCAGGAGGAGCGTGCTGCGGGACTTCTGCGCCAACTCCAGCCTGGCCTTCCCCACCAAGGGGCGCTCGTTCGACGACATCCCCAACTACGAGCTGAACCACCTCATCGTGGACGACCGCCACGGCGTCATCTACTGCTACGTGCCCAAGGTGGCCTGCACCAACTGGAAGCGCGTGATGATGGTGCTCAGCGGGAGCCTCTCGGACCGCGGCGCCCCCTACCGCGACCCCCTGGCCATCCCCCGCGAGCGCGTGCACAACGCCAGCGCCCACCTGACCTTCAACAAGTTCTGGCGGCGCTACGGCAAGTTCTCGCGGCACCTCATGAAGGCCAAGCTGAAGAAGTACACCAAGTTCCTGTTCGTGCGCGAGCCCTTCGTGCGCCTCATCTCCGCCTTCCGCAGCAAGTTCGAGCTGGAGAACGAGGAGTTCTACCGCAAGTTCGCCGTGCCCATGCTGCGGCTCTACGCCAACCGCACCAGCCCGCCCGCCTCCGCCAGCCAGGCCTTCCGCGCCGGCCTCAAGGTCTCCTTCGCCAACTTCATCCAGTACCTGCTGGACCCGCTCACCGAGAGGCTGGCGCCCTTCAATGAGCACTGGCGGCAGGTGTACCGCCTGTGCCACCCGTGCCAGATCGACTACGACTTCGTGGGCAAGCTGGAGACGCTGGACGAGGACGCCGCCCAGCTGCTGCGGCTGCTCAAGGTGGACACGCGCCTGCACTTCCCCCCGAGCTACCGGAACAGGACCGCCAGCAGCTGGGAGGAGCACTGGTTCGCCCAGATCCCCCTGGCCTGGAGGCAGCAGCTCTACAAACTCTACGAGGCCGACTTCGTCCTCTTCGGCTACCCCAAGCCCGAAAACCTGCTCAGAGACTGAGCGCGTGGCCGCCCCGGCACCTGCTGCCCGCCCCCGCGGCGACCCCGCCCAGCCGCGCCTGCGCCATCCGGAGAGCCGGCACCCAGCACGCTCGCTGCAGTCTGACCTAACCCGCGCCCTGCGGTCCGGACGCGCCGTTCACTCCGCTGCCTAGCCACTCAGTACTGTGTTGATAATGTTTTTTTTTTTTTAAGATTAATATATTTCAGATATTTAATACGAGAGGGGAGGGGGTGCTGGATAAAGTGTGGCGTCTGCCCTTTCTGCCTGCTCCGCCGTGGTTCTGTCTGAGCGACCGGGGCCCCCAGGGGCGTGCCGAGTCATTGAGCATCTGGCCCTGGGCCTCAGAAACCCGGCACGGCAAGGGGGTGTCGTGGTGGTCCTCCGTGGGGGGCGGCCGCACCTGTGCCTTTAAGAAGGCTAGCCGAGGAATGCCTCGGAGGAAAGCTGTCTCCAGGCAGTGCCGACGCCGCAGGCGAGTTCCTGAGTTCTCCGTGAGCCGGAGCACACCTAAACACGCCCGGAGCTCAGGGCTGTGGACAATGGGGCTTCCGACCCCTCTGTCCCCCGGGCCCCGGCTTGGAGGACCGCGGTGGAGCGTCCCGGCCCACCCGAAGGCGGGGATCGGGCTGTCAGGAGAACGCACGGCCGCTGTGCCCGGCCTGGAGGGGCCTGCTGGCCGGTGCAGCGCCAGCGTGAAAGGGGCGGGGCGGGGCTGGTCCAAGGCGGCCGTGGAGCCAAACTCCTTTGCGGTTTTTGCTTTTAGCGGGTGCTTAGGCGTTTGCAGCATGCTTGGCCATCCCTGTTCGTCTGCTACGTGCCTTGCTCATGTGTGGCGGCCTTGCCTCTCCAGGTCCCTGGGGACAGGGGCCCGTCGGGCCGTGGCCCGGTGCTCAGCCTCCCAGGGTCTCCACCCCATTTTGAACCTTCCCGCTCCACACCGTGGGCAGCGGGATGCTCCCGCGTGAGAGCCCAGTGTTGAGACATGGCACGGCGGGTGGACGCCTCGTCCCGCGTCACGGTGCCTGTGCTGAACCCCAGCTCCGCTCCCAGTTCCGGCCCCAGCTCATCACCCCAGAGGCAGCAGGCGTCTCCTCCCAGGCTCCTAGGTTTGTCCTGGCCCAGCCTCGGCTGTGCTGGGAATTCAGGGAGTGAACCAGCGTGTGCGAGTTCTCTGTCTACCTCCAAAAAAAGGAAAAAAAGAAAAAAGTTTTCTGAAGAGTTTGCCGCTGTGGCGTCTGTCAGGCCCTGCCCAGCGGCGCTTGTCTTTGGCACGGACGTGCCAGCCGCGTGCTGGTCACCAGGCAGAACTCTGGCCTTGGAACCCCTGCTCCCCGGCCAGTGGGGGCCGCCGCGCTCAGGACCGGGTGCGTGCAGGGCGGCACTGCCGTCTGAGGTCGGGCTCCTTACAGGACGGTGGGCGAGGGTGTCTTGGTGCCTTTCGTCTCCACCACTGCCTGCGGGCTGTGGGTGCCTCTCTGGTGAGGCAGGGGCAGGGGGGCCGCCAGGACGTGAGTCCCGGTCTGACCGGAGCCTGTGTTAGACAAGGGCCAGCTGCACGTTCACAGCGTGGTTCACGGGCCGTACAGAACCATCCACTGGAACCCAGCATGCTGCAGCTTGTTGAATTGCAGGTCCCCCCGCAGTTGCCTTGGCAGGGCCAGACGCAGCGACCGGAGCCGGGTGAGGCGCCCCCTCTCCCTGGCTGCATTGTAGGCAGGGTCTGTGGGGCTGCGGGGGCGGTGCAGACGGGGTGGCCAGGCCCTGGACACACACCCCCTCCCCTCCCGGAGCGGCGGTGTGGAGGGAGCAAGCCAGGGCCACCCCCAGGCAACAGGGGCTCCCTGCACTTTGTGCGCTTGTCAGCAGCTCCACGTCTTCCCAGGGCACCTCCCGAGCTGTCTCCATGCCCCCGCCTGCTCCATTGCCTGCGGCAGCCCAGAGCCCTCTCCTAGCTTTCCTGACGGGAAGCCTGGTGCCCTGCCGGGCTCCTCTGCAGGCGCCCAGCCCTGTGCTGGCAGGGGACGGCAGCTCAGGGGAGCCACCTGATGCTTCCGGCAGAGTGGCAGCACCTGGAAGGGTAACGGGCTCCCCAGCACCCCACAGGGACGCCAGCACAGGGCCAGGGAGAGTCACGGGACCACACACATGTTGTCCATCAGAGGGGAGTTCCGGGTGACGCCGTGCAGGGGACGGCCATTGTGTTGCCCGCATGCCCTCCCTCTGGTCGCACAGCCCGGCCCTCCCTCCCCACTCGTAGCCCAGGAGAGCTGGGTGGGCCCGAGCATGGCCGTGCCTAGGCAGCTTCACCGAGGTGGGTAGCAGGTGGGCTCCTCACCCAGCCAGGACCCGTGCGACGCAGTGTGCTTTGCTGGTGTCTTTGAGAAGGGGCTTTGCCCAAGTGCTCGTGACCCCCGTGCCTACCCCAGAGTGCGCCCCGAGATGCCTCCAGCTGGCGAGGAGGGCACGTGCCGTGGGAGCACGTGACACCCCACCCACCTGTGCGGGCCCACAGGTGCCACCAGCTGAAGCCTCTTTGAATTGGATTTCTGACTCACAGCCTGCTGAATTCACACACTGGTGTGTGATACAGGGGCTGGAGGACACTCCATTAGCTGAGACACCCCACGGCCCCCTCTCCTGGGTGTAGACCATTGTTCCCAAGGCACCAGTAATTTCTTAGCAGTATGAAATTGTTTTTAAGGTTTTGTTTATATGAAAGGCAGAGTTACAGAGGGGGAGAGAGAGAGAGAGAGACATAGCTTCCGTCTGGTGGTTCACGCCCCAAATGGCTGCAGCAGCCGGGGCTGGGCCAGGCTGAAGCCAGGAGCCAGGAACTCCCTCCTGGATGCCCATGTGGGTGGCAGAGGCCCAAGTACTTGATCCATCCTCCGCTGCTTGCCCAGGTGCATTGGCAGAGAGCTGGATTGGAAGTGGCGCAGCTGGGACTTGAATAGCATTCCCATATGGGATGCTGGCGTGGCAGGTGGTGGCTTAACCTGCTGCACCACCACGCCGGCCCCGACAGAGGGTCCTCCTGCGCTGAGCAGCGGCTGGCCCTCAGGTGTGCCTGGTGGAAGCAGCCGTTGGTCGAGGACCTGCAGGCGGCCACACAGTGCCGAGCCTCCTGCATCTGTCTCGGGGCAGGGAGCCGATGGTATGTACTGTGCCTTCATTTCTGTGGGTGGTTGTTCCACCGGACTAAGTCCTCCTGTCTGTGTGCACTTTGAAACCCTTGGATGAAAAGGCAAGCACCACCCAGAGCCCAGCCATGCCTAGCCGCCACCCGGCCGCGCTGCTCTGGGGCCGGGCAACGCTTCCCGCCTCTATGGTTTCAGGAGCCTTGACGCATGGAGGCGCCATGCTCAGTGAGGGCTCCCACTGCCTGCCGGGCTCGGCTCAAGAATTCTCGGGCTGCTGGCACCACGGCTCAATAGGCTAATCCTCCGCCTGCGGCGCCAGCACACCGGGTTCTAGTCCCGGTTGGGGCGCCGGATTCTGTCCCGGTTGCCCCTCTTCCAGGCCAGCTCTCTGCTGTGGCCCGGGAGTGCAGTGGAGGATGGCCCAGGTGCTTGGGCCCTGCACCCCATGGGAGACCAGGAGAAGTACCTGGCTCCTGCCTTTGGATCAGCGCAGTGTGCCGGCTGCACCGCGCCGGCCACAGCGGCCATTGGAGGGTGAACCAACGGCAAAGGAAGACCTTTCTCTCTGTCTTTCTCTCTCACTGTCCACTCTGCCTGTCAAAAAAAAAAAAAAAAAAAAAAAAGAGAATTCTTGGCTCACAGGATGTGAGAGTGAGGGCAGGGGCGTGTGGTGCCGTGTCAGGGCCAGAGGCAGGGGCAGGACAGGGCCGCCGTACCACACAAGCCGGCTCCCCAGGAGGTGGGCAGGGGCCAGGCCATGACTTCTGGCTCGGCCTCTGCCCCTGGACTGGAGATCATCCTTGTAAGCAAACTTGGAGCAGCCCTTGAAAATACTGTTTGCCCCACGAGGAAGTGCCACCTTGCTTACACGCTAGGGAGAGGCGCTCCTGAGTGGACATCAGCTCGGGGAACCTCGGTGCTCCCGGGCCAGAGGGGACAAGGGTTTGGGTCCCTGCCCCTCCGTGGCTTCAAGCGAGACGAACAGTATCTCTTACCCTGCACCTGGGGGCCTCCCCACACAGGGCTTCCACATGGTGTCCTTGCTCCTCGCCTGCCCCTGCACAGGGCCCCCACCCGACCCAGACCAGGGCTCCTGGTGCTTGGTGGGCCTTGGGAGGAGTGAGCACACGCAGTGTGAGAAATCACACCTGGCCAATCCCAGGTGGGAGGCGGGAACCCGAGCGCAGCCCCCCGCCCCCACTGTCACAGTGCTTCTCGCTCGAGGCCCGAGGAGCCCACGTGGATGCTGGAAAGAGGCCGGTAGGCTCGGAAGCCCACGGCCCAGTCCCTGGTCAGGGCGGGACCCTGCTGCCTGGTGTCGGAGTGGGTATCCCGCCTCGGGTCTCTGACAGCCAGCAGTCCTGGGCACAGCTGGCTGGGGGAGGGGCTGTGAGAGTCGCCCACAGAGCAGGGCTCCCCCGGACCCTGCCGGCTGCTGAGTGCCGGGGCAGTCTCCCCTAGGGAGATCCTTGGGCGAGGATGAGACCCCTCCCCCTCTCCTTTCCTTACTTGAAAGGCAGAGTTACAGAGAGGGAGGGAGAGACGGACGCAGAGAAAAGTCTTCCATCCGCTGGTTCACTCCCCACGTGGCCAGGAGCCTGCAGCTCCATCCGGCTCCCCACGTGGGCGGCAGGGTCTCCAGCGCTGTACCCTCAGCCCCGCCTTCCCAGGCATGGCAGGGAGCTGCCCTGGGCTGCCGGCGTCACAGGCTGCGGCTCAAACCTGCGGGGTGCTTTTCTTTCTGATGGCACTGAGGGCTTCAAAGGCCGTTGTGTGAAGCCGTCTTGCCGCTTCAGGCCGGTCTGGGTCCACGTCCGGAACATGGTGGTTTTGAGACTTGGGGGCGCGGATTCGCCCGCGGATCCTCAAGTGTCAGGTTGCAGAGGTGGGCTGGCTCTGGAAGTGGTCTGGGCTTTGAAAAGCTTCGGTTGGAAAGCATTTGGCTCTAAAGCGTTCCAGAAACCTCTCCCAGAGCCAGAGCCGAGCAGGGGGTGGAGGGAGGGTGAGCTTAGGGCAGATGGGGCCACCCCGCCACCCGTGGGGGGAAGGCAGGGGGGCCTGGCTGCCAGAAACCTTCCCCCACGGGGCATCCGGAAGAGGGTGCCTGTCTCAGCAGGGAGC